CAGCTGTTTCCCACGAGACGGGACCCACAAGACTGTACACGTGAGGCCCTGGCGGGGCGACTGCGCGAAAAGGTCAAAGGCAGCACGAGCCAGACCTGGCAAATCAGAAGAGTGGCCAGATTGACAAGCAGAAATCGCCGCAAGGCAGTCAGATACGACGAAAAGATCGCGTTGCATGGAGAGCTTACCAGAAACTTCACAGCAGACAGTAGCAAGCCAAAGCAAAGCTTGCATCTCAGCTTTGAAAGCAGACTGGTCCTCATCACCCGTCCCTGCTGCAAAGCTGCTGTGCTCAGTCACATGCTGCCCGAAGACAATGGCTGACGCAGCAGTGTCGTTGCGAGCACTGCCATCCGTGGCTGCGTACAGAAGCCCATCGGCTTTGAGCGACTCAGAAGCACCTTCCGACAGCTCCTGGAGGAAGTCGCTGAGATCAAGAGCAGGAGTCGGCGGCGGGAAGTCCCCCACCTCCTTCGCAAAGAGGCGCTCTTCGGCGCGATTTACTGGCAGCTCATGCCCCACGGGCAGGTCTTGCGTCACAGGGCAGGCCCACGTGAGGTGCGGCCTCGAAGGCCTGGACTCACCACAAAGGCAGAGCCAGCATCGATGATCAGCAGGAAAGGCACCTCCGGCATTGAAATGCAAACACGAACCCCCAGAACCGAGGCTAGCAAGGTGTTGGGCTCGGCCACCAGTCTCAGACGCAGCAACGCCGTGCCCTCTGAAAAGGTACACACCATTACGGGGCGGGGCCGGTAGGTCAAGCCCTGCTCGTCGTCGCTCCTGCGGAAGGAGCGCCACAACCTGCCACACTTGTCAACGCACAAGGCCCTAAAGTGAGCACTCAGCCAACGATCAACCTCGCGAAAACTGTCATGCCCTAAGCGGAGACAACGGCGTCGCCCGGAGCAGTCGCGCCGCACCACTGCGCCAGCTTCAGGCTCGTATGTCCACTTCAGGATCTGGAGCCAGCGAGGAATCTCCGGCAGGAGCTCATTCCAAGGAAGAAAGGCTTCAGTTAGAGGAACTGTCTCCACCCAGTTGGGAGGCGCTGCCAAAAAGCGAGCCAACGTGCGAAAGGCACTACGACACAGCATCATCTGCGGATGGAGCTTCCAACCCAGCTGCTCCCAACACACGTAATGTTAGGGTGATCAAACACATGCACTCCTTTTCAATGGTCGCAATGCACACTCCGCCAGGCGGCAGGAAATCCTGCCGCTGGCTCATCCCCCTTTCGAGGCTTAAAACAAGCCACATGGGGCTACACCAGGCACAAGCCACTGCTAACACAGCCCGCGCCAGGGGCAATCACCGGGCACCGCCCACTCCAGGGGCAACATAGAGACACTGTAAGAAGGGGTGGGAGGGCGGGAAATTTTGTGCGCAGCAAGAAGTGCGAGCAAAGGCTGCACACAAACACAGACACACTTAACACCCGTGTATTCGCTGCATGCGCGTGTAGAGTGGTATGTGCGCGCAAGCACCCCACACCAAGACATTCGCACGATCGACGCCGAAACGATCATCGAAGAGGTGCAGGAGTTCGGTTTCCAGGGCATTCAGCTCGTCATCCGACGGAGCCGCATAGGCCGAAGTCCAGGAAACCATGGGAACAACCAAGCTCTGCACGATATGCTTGCGATCGCGAACAGAACGAGAGCACCAGCGGAGCAATCGAAGGCGAAGCACTGCTCGGCGAAGCACAAACTTGAGCAAAGACCAAGCTCCTCCGAAGGTGCAAGAAACACCCAGTATCTCAAGATGATCACTGACGCTGAAGGAGTGTTTGCCAGCAAGGGCAGCCCACTCCTCAGTCGCCTCACTTGGGTAGACCGCACACTTCTCAAGCGAAAGCTTGAAGTTGAAACACTCATCGAACTCGGCAGACCGGCATAGCACTGCGTCCAGGGCCTGAACAGGAGCACGGGCTCGAAGGAACAGCAAGCGGTCGTCCATGTAGTTGAGTCCCGAAACATGCTGATGGGCCCCATGGAGAACGTACTTACACCACACGTGAGCAATTGCAGCAGCGAGGCACGGGCTGAAGGGGCAGCCTTGCGGAATGCCCTGGCTGGGCACAAACCGTTGACCGTCGTAGGCCCCCTCACACACAAAGGTCCGGCAGGACTGCTTGTAGAAATTCAGCAGCAACTTGAGCAACTCCAAGGGAAACCGAAGGTGTTGAAGAACAGCACTTAAAGAATCCCATTGGGTAGAATCGAAGAAGGCTTTAACGTCAAGTTGGACAAAGCCCTTAGACTTATTGCGAAAGGCAGCCTGGACTTGGGCAAGTGCAGCCTCAACAGAGGCTCCAGGAAGGCCCCCGGCATCATGGCCCGATTGCCACTCGCTAATCCACGGCCTCAGACGGCGCTGTAACACACTGGCGCCAGCACGCCACAACACTTGGCACAAAGTCAACGGACGACTACCACCCTTAGGTTTGGGAATCAGCACCGTGGTGGCACAAGACCACTGCGTGGGCACTTGCCCTAGCTGCACGCATCTGTTCCACAGGTCTGCAGCACGTCTCCAAAACGGAAGCAAAGCTTCTGGAGTCCACGAGTCAGGCCCAGCCGCACGTCCTTTCATGGCTTGCACCGCTTGCTTCAAGCCAGTAGCATGCAGCACTAGGTCACATTTGATATCAGCAGGCCTGGGCACACACTCAAGGATGGCACAAAGCTTAGCAGGGTCAGCATGCGACTTGGCTGTCCACATGACACTCCAAGTTTTTGCTTCGACCTTGACGCGCTCGGCTGGATGAGTCACCAGATCAGCTGGGGCAGCCAACGGCAGCTCCTTTTCCCAATCCAGCTGAGCTTCAGCTCGCTTCTTGACGAAGCCACGGATGTTGCGTGAAGATTCCATCCTCGTTTTCCATAGCTGACTCCTTGCCTTATCCTCCTGTTCCTGGAGCTGCTTGACAGTGACATCCACGTACTCCAGCAGTTGCAGCTCTTCCCCAGGGGGAAGAAAAGGCACGTGAAAGCCTCTCGCACGCGGACGACTGATGCAAGGAAAGATTTTGGCGCGAAGTTGCGAGTCCCAAGGCCGGAACTTCAAAGTGCGAAGCTTTGCAAGCAGCTTGCGAAACCGGGCCAAGGAGTCAGACGACTCCAGGCGGCGCGCGGGCCGCGATTTGTCCGGCACAGGGCTGGGCAGCCAATCCTCATGTCTTGGTACACTGCCTTGACGAAGCTCTCCACAGAGAGCCTGCTCAGCGACAACTGAAAGGGAGGTCCAAGCATCATCAAGGCGGCAGTCATCAAGGGCACACTCAAAGCAATGAAAATCCGCTGAAGCGAAGAAGACCTCAAAATGCTCCTGCGACACATTCTTGAACGGTGCTCTGGCAGGCTTTGTCAAAGGCGCAGGGAATCGCTCAGGAAACCTGTAGCTGACACAGAGGTGGTCAGACTCTGCAAACTCAATATGCGTAACCTCAGTAGGCGCAACTCGCCAGTCGTGTATGGCATAGTCAATGCGCCGCCGACGCCCCGGACCCGTGCAGGGAAGAGGCTGCCCGCGAGCACAAGCATCACCAGGCACCGCCATGCCGCAAGCAAGAAGCTCGCCCATCGCGCCCTCACCTGCCTCCATGTTGAAGTCACCCAGGACGACAAAACGACATCGCGCGCGCAGGATGCCCGCAACAATGTCGCTGAGCTGGGCATCAGCAATCTGAGGATTGCCAGCTTGGCAGTACGTTGCCACAACAAGCAAAGGTTCAGATCTGCCCTCAGAATTGGTGACATTGACAACACCAAAAGGCGTGCCTTGAGGCGCCGGCACCGGTGCAGACACGAACAGGCTTAAACGGAACCCGACTAACAAGAGCCACTCTAGCCTTACCGTTCTCAAGCGCACTCAGCGAAGCTTTGTAACCCTGAGCTTTCCATTGGGCCAAACAGCCCGGGCAGGCCGCGGCGGCAACATCCACTTCAGACAAAGCGAAGAAGTCCGAAGGGAAATTCGAAGTCGACTCGCAAAGAGAGCTGACAGTGGAACATCCCTTTTTAGCAACATTTACTGCGGTAAAGGAGATCACACCTGGCAAACCTTAAGCGCCTTGCACGCCTGGCCAATGGCGTCCTCGACTCGCGTACGGTAAGAGCCGGCCGGAATCTTAGGCAGCAGATCTCGCAGCTTGAGCACTGCCTGGATCCGCCTGTCAGCGAGCAGCTCAGGCTTGCTGGGGCACTCCTTCTTGCGATGCTTCTCAGCTTTCTTAACATCTCTAAAAGGAGTATGGCAAAGGTTGCACCGCCACCCTGTGAGAATGCGAACAGGAGCAGTTTTGGAAGCGGGCATTCACTTGAGCCTCGTGGCCTGACATACTGGATCACAACTACAAGCAAGACGCTACAAGGCTGCAAGCCACATGACATCTACCGCGCAATACTGCCCTGTCCTACCGCACATGCACGGACTCTTGTTTTGTCGCGACGGTGACTCTGGGGAAAGTCTCGTCAACCTGTCCTGGGTCAGGGGGTTGAAGCCGACCAATGCGGGCCCTGGACCCAGGATACTCATCCCCCCCTCCCTCACCACTTTGGGCGGGTCGGGTGGGACAAAAAGCAAGATCGAGTGATCTTGATGTCTTATGCGTGAAGCTGCACCTTCCTAGTCTTGCATGTTGACATATCATGCTTAGCTGCTCACTAGCTTCTCCTGAGCCTCTGCGTGGGGGTATGTAAGTCAGGCACGTTCTGACGAACTCTCGTCGGCTCAGTGAACGAGCTATCACGAGGACTCGTGACGGCACTCTTCACTTGAGCCTCGTGGCCTGACATACTGGATCACAACTACAAGCAAGACGCTACAAGGCTGCAAGCCACATGACATCTACCGCGCAATACTGCCCTGTCCTACCGCACATGCACGGACTCTTGTTTTGTCGCGACGGTGACTCTGGGGAAAGTCTCGTCAACCTGTCCTGGGTCAGGGGGTTGAAGCCGACCAATGCGGGCCCTGGACCCAGGATACTCATCCCCCTATTTTACCGTCAACTGTCTTAACTGGTCAAAGCATTCCCGAAGCTCGGTTTCCACGCTGGAATTCGGCAGGCTGACACCTTTCCACACGAAGCTATTGAGTAGTTCCCGCGAAGGCCTATCAGCTACATTCGACGGAGAGGGTACCCTGGCATACCATGGGTAAAATCCCATGCATTCCTCGTTGGTGACTAACATTTCCACAAGTGCAGACGGGACCGCTGTTCTCGCTGTAGCCGATATTGCTACGTCGCGTGTGGCATTGTTGTCGACGTAGCACATGACGAGTCGCGTGCACAACAAGGGCCCCCACTTGCGAAGAGCTACTACGAGCGCCATCAGCTCAGCCTCGAAGATGATCTGGGAGGAGCGGCCTTCGCCTAGCAACCTCCTTTCTTCTGCCCCCAACCCGACAGAGAAGAAGTCGACAGCACTTCCTAGTTGATCAAAAAGGACACCCCCTAAACCACAAGGCCAGCTGGCATGCCCCGCTTCATAACATGCATCCGTGAAGACGAACCAAGGAGCTTGGCTCATGACTGAAATGACGCGTGGAGCATCAGCACACAACCTGGACATGAACTTCTTGATCGCTAGGCGCGCAGGCTGACTTAGTTCCGGCCCATTATCACCCCACGCGTGAGAGGTTACTGCCTGCATGCAGGCTCTTCCTGTCCTTCCGAACAGCTGGCCATCAGCAAACTGCATCCTACCACGCAACTTCAGCACGAGGGCCTGAGGGAGGAAACCAGAATCAAGGACTTGTTGTAGCGTTTGCTTCAGCTCCAACACTCGTCTCTCCGTGTTGCAGAAAAACACTGTGCCGTCCGTGAATCGACTCAAGCTTATCTTAATGCCCAGGGCTTGAAAGTCTAAGGCGAAGGGGCAAGCTTTGTCTCCGTCTTCTGCGAAAGACCAGCCCAGCAGCTTGAAGAAAGCTTCGATTGTGCGCTGCAAGTGCTTGCTTCCGGCCTTCCTCGAAAAAGTAATGAAATCATCAAAGAAGGTGGTCCAAGGTATTGCAAGCTGATCAGCAGCTATAAACCACACCGCCATTACGATTCTCAAGAAGGAGTACACAGCACGACTTGCTCCGAAGGGTAAAGCACGCATTCTGAAGATCTTTGGTGCTGCAGCCGCAGCATCCCAGCACGCTACGTAACTGGCCCAAGATGACTCGGGCGCAATGGCGAGTTGGCGGTACGCAGCCTTTAAGTCGAAGGTCCTTCCGAGTAAAGTCGTTTTAGCTCCTCTAGCAAGCAAACTCAAGCAGAGCGCCGCAACTTTGTCCGTGGCATGCGGCCGCGGAGACTCAGATACTTGCACTGTCGCATTTACTCCCCCCATTGAGAAGTCGTCCGTGACCCTTAGTTTAGATCCTTGGACAACCCCAAACCTACGGCTTACGAGCGCAGAACTCTCCAATTCACTGTATGGTATCGGGCCTTCCAGCCAGCCTTTTTCGTGCTCCTCCCACGTTTTCTTTAGGACATCCCCATCGAGTTCGCCTAACGGCCCTATCTTCTTAATTGCCTCTAGCCTGATTTTGCTAGCTTCCTTTTTCACATGGCTTACAGCCATTTTGGCTGGCTTGAAAGTGGGCTCGAAGATTCCGGTGACAGGCACTTCTCCTGCTAGATGCGTACCATGCACTAGCTCATCGAAAGCACCAGGGTCAGGATAATTACACTCTGCAAGCATCTCTTTGAACAACACCAACCTCTTAGGTTCGAGAATGGCTCTACAGGCGGGATGTAACGACCTCTTTAGCTCTGCTTCTTGGTGTGTGAGCTGTTCTGCCCGCTTGGCCCACTTGGCGATCCAACACGTCCTCATTTTTGCGAGGGCTTGGTCGTCCAAGGTCTCCTGCATGTGGACGGCCTTCTGGAGCACTTCTGGCAGCACGTCCTGAAAGCTTCTGGGGTGACCAGCTTTCACTGCAGCATCGACAAACTCTTCCTCGGTGCGTGGGACGCCCCATGCCTGCTCGAACCTTGGCTTTGCAGCCTCACCCCCTGTTCTAGCTACCCAATCCCCTACTTTAACCGCTATGGGAGTACTTCGAAGGAGTTGACTCTTGGCTGGCACACTCTCGACTGCAGGCGTGGCGATAGTTCCTGCAGGAGGCACAAAGGGCCGCTCAAGACGCTGGCCAGGTGCACATGGCTGTGGCAGCGGCTCCTGGGAACGTAAGACTACTACAAGCTTATGTTCACCTACAGGGGCGGGGAACTTTGACGCTTTGCTTTGCAAGCCGGCAATTGCCCTTTCGGCAGCGGCAGCTACTTTGTCTTCTTCCATGCTCAGTGCAATCCGTGGCTTGTCCCAACCTCGCCGCACCATGCTTTTGATGAACGCGAGTGCGATGTGGGCCGCCAAACGAGGCGGGTACGCAGTCTCCTGCGACGTAGCATATCCGTTCGGGGCTGTTTCGTCGCTGCCCCACGGCAAGTGTTGCGCGGCACACTGTGGCCCCGGACAGAACCGAGCCAGCTCTTCAAACGCACTGCAGTTGTGAGCTATAGCTGTTTGCTTCTGACGCCTGCCACCATACGCACAATGCTCAAAGCACACGTATTGCGCTAGCTTCGACACGGACTTCCAGAAGGAGGTCTGCCACAAGTAGCTGTGAAGCGGGTTTTCTACAGCGAAGATCTTATCGTTGGCAACGCAGTAACGCACGACATCCGCAACTAATTGATATGTGAGGTTTGCTTGCTGCACCTTGAACTCGTCCATCTGGCTCAGGCCGGACAAGCCGTCCGGGCACTGCGCTGATCGGAGGGGCGGGGGCCCGCCATCAACCTTTCTAGCTCGTGAGGCCGTGCCACATGGCGGCGCCATGAACACACCTATCACCCTCGGGGAGCCTAGCCACGTGAAGCAAAGCGCGCGGCCCTCTGCGCTTGTGAGATCCACTTCTAAACATTTGGCACACGCTTTGGACACGTCCACATCTACTCCAAGAGCCCCCGCTACTCCAAAGCCTTTCAAGCACGCAGTCACGCGGGCAGTGCCGGCGAAAAGCTCGATCACCACAGGATAATCTTTCCACGCTTCGGCGTGTCTCTTACTCGAACAAGAACTAGGACTAGGACCCGGACAAGGATTACTAGGGCACGCATCCAAAGGACCTGAAATGGGAACGCGTGGCTCTCGGGGTTGCTGCTCTACGACCGCTGCCGCTGCCTTTGGCACCTTGACTGGTTGCACACAAAGCTTATCACTGGGCTGACCCAAAGCACGCTCGCCGCTCATGCTGCCCCCTGCATATGAGGCGGCATCGCTGCTCTCGGAGTCCGAATCCAAAACTGTTGCGTTGGACACCGGTGTGCTTCCGGCGCACGCAGGCTGCAAAACTGGGGCAACTGCCCCTGCGGCTGACACACTACTGCGACACTCACACGCTGCTTGCTCATGTAACGCCCAAAACTGAGAGCCTCCGAAGGCACATTCACTTGCGCCTCCGTCATTGGCACTTGCATGGCTGCTGGCAAGCTTGTCCGATCACTGCCATTTGTGATCCTTCAAGGCGTGAGCCCCGAAGCACTTGGCACACACATGGGCTCGCTCACACTTCTGATTTTTGCACTTGCCGAGGCTGAACCCGAAGCACACTTCCTCACCGTCCGGCGTCTTGCCACTGGCACCTGCTGCGAGAAACTCCTTGGGAAGTCTGGCCTCCTTGCCCCCATTGCCTTTGCCACCTCTTTGATCCTTGCCCTGGCCGTCACGCGTCTTGCCGTCCCCCTCCTGGCGCCTTCCATCTCCTTTGAAGCGCTTGCTGTCGCTAGTAGCAAAGCCCGCTCCTTTTCCTGGCCTCTTCAGGGCTTCTTTCGCTTGCCGAGGAAAGAGGCTGAAGGAGACCTCGTAGGACTCTAACGCCTTGTCCAGCTCGACGTCCAGCGGGAAAGTGCCGTCAGGCGACTTCTTGGGGCTTACACTGCGCTGGATTAAGCGGATCCAGCACTGCTTGTCCGCTTCGGCTAGTTGAGAGACCGAACAACGAGCCATTTGAGGCGGCGGGTCTCGGGCTAGGTGCGCGAACAACTTGCCTACATAACGGTCGTAGGCAGGCCAACTGCACGATTGGGCGAAGACCAGAGCCAGCCCACGCCGCCGCAAGGCCTCCTGCAGCTGCAACGCACTGGGGGCTGGTTGCTCCAGGCTGGACTGTTCATCTTTCACAACGAGCTTTGCTGCCTCCAATTCCACTATCTTGCCAGGATTCTTACCGTTCAAGACTTCGTGAAGACGAGAGACGCATTTCTCTGGTGGAATGTACTGCAATTGGTTTTCCTTCTCCATCTTAGCCGCAAGATCCAAGAGCGCATGTCCTGGCTCCAATGATTCGCCGATGTGCAGCCCGACAAGTCTCGATCTGAGCATCTCCATGCGTCGCACTCTCTCCGCCGCCGGGACGGGCTTGGCTGTTTGGCTTTCAGGGTTGGTTACTTGCTCTTTGAGGTCTGCAAGGATTAGTGTCTGGCCCTCAAAGACCAAGCGTTTGAGAGCAGAGTGCTCTCCCACAGTTGCATGTGCAAAGTTGGACTGAAGCCACGCAGCCATGGTTGCCTCTGGCAGAGGCTGCCCTGGCTGGCCGACTGCATATCCGATGCGAGCCAAGGACGTGAGGTCCAGGCGGTCCAGCGTGTTCGCAGTCGTGGGCGTCAAGCCAACCTCCAAACAGCGCTGCTTGAAATGATGCTCGCTCTCAATCAGGCTTGACATGGCAGACAGGCACGGATCGTTCGGACTAGAGTACAGTCGCACCACTTCTCGAGCTCTCAACACAACTGCGAATCGGTCTTGCATTCACACCAACGCACAAGGTAGACATGGCATGTGTGTCCCACGACATCAGCCCTGCCAACCCTCACGAGCACCCGCACCCCGTACCTGCAATCGCTTCAAGACGACGGAACACATCACACTCAACACCGCTCAACAAAACTCTCAGACGCACAATCCACAACAAGTGTGAGAATCTCAGTCCGCTGCCCTCAGTCGACCTGCTCAGCTACACTCCATGTGCGAAAGAGACTTGTCATGACACGCGCAAGTAACGCACATCCCCAACTGTCGCATGACAGATCTTCAAGCGCGATTAGCGCTGTGCACTTCGCACAAGAGCATCTCCGCTCCCGCCTCTCCGGCGCGCCCACCATGTGAGCAAACTTTTTCTCTGCAGGCACGTATCTTCATCTGCCGCATGGCAGTAAAAGTCCGCTTCTTCTATTCACACAGGAGCCTCTCCGCTCTTGCCACTCCGGCATGCCCACCATGTGAGCCTACTTGTGTACACGGAATGACTGCAGCAACGATTACTTGTTCTTCCTACATGTGCAGCACTCATGCCCTTCCAGATCCGCTTCTTCTGCGAGCCTGTAAGACATTGACACAGATCTACCACACGCAAAGACCCTTGTCTCGGCCAACTCTGACTCTTGGCCGTTCACCAAGTGTAACACTTGCGACTTGCAGTGCACCCACCACACCTGCGCTTCGCGGTTTACCGGCTTGCGTCCTCTCTGCCTCTTGACCTGCATAGCGGCTTGCTGCTCACCGCCACTGTCGCTGCCGGAATCTTCCGACTCCGACTCCGAGGAGGAAGACGAGCTGTTCTGCTCACGCGGTTGCCCTGGACACTCCAACGCTGGACTAATTTCCTTGTCCGCCTCGTCCTTCACTTCCAGCACTTCTACGGCAGGGGGTTTAGGGGGAAAAGCAAAGTATCTAGACCTGGGTTCGTCTGGCCGGAAGCTTCCACTGGCAACATCTGCCAGTATGCTTTGCAGTTCACGCGTGGGACCAACACACAGGTCCCGTGCATAAACAGCATCTGCGGAGGATGTACACTTGCAGTGGCGGCCAAGGACTGTTTGTGTCCGGTCCGCAACCCCAAACTTACAGACCCAACTTAAGCACGTCGCCTTAAGAGAGTGGCTAGAGACACCTCTTTCGCCCGCTGCTGGCGGCGGGACTGACAGAAAGGCACGCAGGAACGCACTGACCTCGCCCGAGCTAACGGCTCTAGCGGCAAATGCGGAGCACTCACTGTCCACGGGCACTCTGAGTAGGGGCCCGTTAATCTCACCACGCACAGGCAGCTTCAACTTCTCGAAGACTTCCACAAGCAGGTGCATCCAGGGCTTGCCGTGGATGCCAATGGCTGGCACCAGAATCGGCATGAAACGGCTCTTCTTCTGGGCCGATTTGGCACCCTTGTGTTTCCTTGTCAAAATTTCCAAGAATCCGCCTTGGTGGTCATGGTCATGCGTCATGACACTAATTTGTTCGAGATCGGAGTGTCTCGCTCTGCCATACAGTGCCACCAAGGTGTACGCACACATCGCTCTGTCAAACAAGTGGCGAGAGCTATCTGCAAGCCCGGCATGCAGGGCTAAAACCTGCCGCACAGACAACACGCGCGCCTGCTTGAGTGCTGCTTTTCCAGCAAACATCTGCTGCGCCGCTCCCCTCACGCGCTTGCTATCAACCACAATGGACAACCTGAAACCTAGGACATGGTGCGCAAAGCGAACTGAACTTAGGAACGCATCCGCCTTGGTTGGCGGCGCTCTATTGGCCTTCAAGCTTGCAACGTATCTCCACGCATCGGCTTCGGTGAGATTGGCCGTGCAGCACGGCAGCTCCGCGTCTCTCCAACGCAACCACGCGGCAAAACTATACGCTCTTTTACGGACCGTGAAAGGAGACTTGACACCTAGGCAAGCTTCAACGTTCGATATCACTTCTTCCCGGAATCGCGCCGGTGTGGAATCGCTGGCAGTGGCAGCGGCAATTCCAGGCTCGCACTCATGCTTGAATCGCACACATATATCCGCCCAAAGATTGACCCCTTTAGACCACTCATGCTCTCGCTTTTCCTGAGGTGAGAAACCCGTGCCGGCCTTAACAACGCTAGAGAACACCGGTCCTAAATCGGCAGAGACAAAATCACAAACTGTTGCAGGGTTAGCTGGCTTCGCCGGCGTCCGATCTGACACCACCGTACATGCCTCTGTCAGCGGGTGCGCTGACAAGTTGGGCTCAAGTGATGCTTCCATGCCGTCGAATATGGTACGCACCGGGGCGAGCTCCCAAGGCATTTGGATAGACGATAGCTTTCCTATCTTGTGAAACGCATCAATGGCCGCATGCTGCACCAAGCCTGGCTGTGCGGTGGAAACTTGCGCCAGGAAGTCATGGCTCGGGGCTACGCTCGCAAGAGCGGAGGAAGCTGCATCTGAAGGTGTTTCCTGAGCCGCCCAGCACGCTCCTAAGTCTGCAGTTTCGTTCACTTCGACAGCAGGTAATGTAGGCGCCAGAGTAGCCAGCATGCCAGCAATCCCGGATGCATTTACAACGCGCAAGGCCAACTGTGCCTGAAATGGCAGGTACTGCCACAGCAGGCGCAACACTGAGCGTGAGCTGCCTACCGTCTGCAAGTCAGCCTGACCCGAAGCGGTGGAGCTTTCCGCCTCCGTGTCGCTCATGTTTGTATTTGCTATCCCGCTCGATGAGCGGAGCGCAACCATGCACCCTCCCTCACCACTTTGGGCGGGTCGGGTGGGACAAAAAGCAAGATCGAGTGATCTTGATGTCTTATGCGTGAAGCTGCACCTTCCTAGTCTTGCATGTTGACATATCATGCTTAGCTGCTCACTAGCTTCTCCTGAGCCTCTGCGCGGGGGTATGTAAGTCAGGCACGTTCTGACGAACTCTCGTCGGCTCAGTGAACGAGCTATCACGAGGACTCGTGACGGCACTCCTTTGAGGCACGGCCACGGAAAGACTGCGAAGTCCAGCTTTTCCAGCCGCGCAATGACTAACAGCAGTTT